CTGCTTCTCTCAGCTTCTCCAAGACAGCAACCTTTTCTTCAACAAAACTTGCTTCTTCAAGGCCAGCTACTCACTGTGATGAGCACAAACCCACAATGTCAGTCCATAAGGCAAAGAGTAACATATGAGAAATTCATTGCAGTGAACTGGATAGCTCTTACTCCTGTGTTGGATTTCTCCCTGCATAGCTGGTTGATTCTTATTTCTAGATTTGTTTACCTGTAAAGCAAGTTATTTCCTAGCAAAATGTGAGGAAAGGGCAAGTGCTCCACTTCCCTTAACCCACTGCTACATTTACACAGGCACTGAAAGTTCTAGATAACACATTTTGCAGGAATTACTCTCAATGACCTTGGCATTGTCAGGCATTTATGTTCTGAAGACCATCAGACTCCTTGTAGAATTGATTACTGGCTAGTTTGAGACAGGAATTTAATAAGCGCTCAGCAATTTTTTGATCCCAGTTATTTTTGACATTTCACCCCAGCTCAGGATCCCTCTGTGACCTCCAGAGAAACCAGCAGATTTCTTGGGTAGCCACAGGGTGAAAACCTGAGCGCTGAGGGTTTTCTTCTCCTGTTACCAATTGCCCGCACAAGATTAAGTTTGACAGTCCTATGCTGTTTGTGCCTGAAATATTATCCTTTGCAGCATTTTTATGCCTCCATTGCTGTGTTCCATGTCAGGCTCTTACACTTGTCGGTTTAAAATGGTGTTGTTACTCATCCCTGCATAAGATGCTACACAAGACTTAAGCCTGAAATTACTAAGAGCAACAAAAAGTTACAAAAATCATGTGGAGGATAATCCTTCAGGTACAAGCAGCCCAGGGATGTCAAAATTAATCTTACTCACCTTTCTGTTTTGAAGCCCAGAGGGCAAGACAGACAGGTAATATCATCGTAAATTCGGAATGCTACATGGTGTACTGTAATCACGTAACATAACAAAAGACTGAATTCCACAATGCAGGAAGAGTCTGGGGAAAAGTGGGAGCTATGTTTGTTATGCGCTTGGTTTTGCCTCTTCAAAATGAGGGTCATCAATCATCATAGATTTCACTGTTGCTAGTCAGTTCTTGAAATCCCATGATGACTGAGGCTCAGAGGCAATCTAACTAAAATTTGTTGTTTGCTTATACAACAAGGGGTAAGATTTATCTAGATGCTGATAAAAAAAATCCTGCAGAGAATGGCACCAATTCTCTGCAGGATTTTTTTTTGCAGTGTCTATGGAATCATGCACAGGATTTTGTAGACAGAAACGGAATACATTTTCCTGCACAGCAAATCTTGCAGGAAGTACAAAAAATGGAAAATCTCACGTTCAGCACATCTTCTTAGTGTCTAGTACATTTGCTGCTGTTATGCAGTTGTTTGAAGTTGTTATAAGATTTAGATGTGTGGATTTGGCAGGAATCAATGCATCAAAGCTTTTGTCCACATATGTACATGTAAATATGTAAATATATACAATAATAAAGCTTTGGTTAAAATATGTACAGGTGTGGATTGAAGTAAGTGACACACCTTTCTCACCATCACTTCCATTGGGATATGATGGCAAAAGTTTCCTTTTGAATTAGTCCTAAGAAATGAACAACCAGAATACCAGTGGGTTGGGAAGATAGTTCTAGCTTCAGTCAGAATCAATCTTCATTCACAGGTGCTTTAAACCGAAAAGAACAAAATCAGAAAATCCAGTCACAAATCTCCTTGATCATGTTTTGTAAACCTGAATGTAGGGTATGGGATTACTAAGCATTGCAGCAAAACACCTATTCTCTGTTTTCCTCCTTCTTCAGTATAACTAATCTCCACAGGCTATATTCGTTTCCACTGAAGTTTCTTCTCATTATGAATGTAGGGTATGGGATTACTCAGCATTGCAGCAAAACACCTATCTCTGTTTTCCTCCATCTTCAGTATAACTAATCTCCACAAGCTGTATTCGTTTCCACTGAAGTTTCTTCTCATTAACTCGTTCTTTCCTGTTGGTGACGATCAGGCAAGGATAGCTGATCCCCTTGTTACTTCTTCCTTCTGAAAGACGAAATTGTCAGCAAGACAAGTGAGGAATTTGTTTCACCTTCTATTGTTGGTACAGTTGGCCTTCCGACAGATACAAACAGAGCTGAAGTCTCATATGCTGTATCTTTCCACTTTAAATATTTGGTAATCTACTTTCAAAGGACATCATCCAAGTGTTCAGTCTAGCTTAGAGGTGCATAGCATACATCACACTGATGTTACTTTTGTTTCCCTCTCCTTTGATTTTTGACCCAGTGATCTCTACCAGCCTTCTAAGCTCAAAGTCATAGATTTCTTCATAGGTGTATAGATCCTTTATATATAAAATTCTCTTTCTCCTCCTTTCCTGCTTGATCTGTTCTTTCTGACTTAATAATAATCTACTATTGCTACATTCTAATCAGAAGTTTCATTCCATCGGGTTTCAGTAACGCTAATAAAATTACACCGACCTTTCTGGGACTAGGTAAAAGCTGGAATGGAATAGAAACTTCTTAATAAAAATGTATGCAAAAAAATTATGCACATCCCCAAAACTATGGGATGTGCTGAAATACTGTTTTTCATTCATGCTTTATTACCCAAAAACCTGCCAGAATGGAACACAATGACCAAGAATGGAAAAAAACAGTCCAGAATGGTGACTTCTGAGTAGGACAGCTCAACCAAATTCATCAGACACACCCAACCAGAGGGGAATGATGGAACTAGTCACAAAACTCTCACCAGAACAACATTCCAGTATCTATTTGGGGGAGAAAATCAATATCCCCCCCCAAAAAAAACAGCCCAGAATTGTGACTTCTGAGTAGGCCAGCCCAACCAAATTCACCTGCCCCCTCCAGCTAGAGGAGAATGATGAAACCAGCCACAAAAACATGTCCTAGAATAACATTCCAGTACCCATTCTGGACAGAAATATCAATATTGGAGAGAAAAAGCTGCAGCCCAGAATGGCAAATTCTGAGTAGGAAACCCCAATGAAATTCAGTTGTCCCTTCGAACTATGGGGAAGTAGCCACAAAGCCCCAGAGACCACATTCCAGTCCAGGCAGAGAATCGATACTGCACAAACCAGACTAGAACAGTGATATTCACCTTTCTCATCTTCCTGTTCATATCATTGCTAGCAATCTTCCCTCTTCAACTATCTGCTGTCTGACAGTAGATATGTGGAGATTTAAGTCGACATCGTACTTGTCACTTTACAGTGAACAGTATGTAATTTGTTTGTTTCCTTTAATCAGGAAGTATCCAGATTGATCATTAATTCTTTTCGAAGGGAAGGGATGAGACTGGGCAGATCTGTCCATGGGTTTTCTCTGCGCCATCTGCTGAACCAGTTGTTTACTTCTCCTGTTTTCAGCTCTCCTCCTATGCTATAGCTTTTCACAGCAAAGGAGTGATAAAAATGGCCACCTATGCCATTTTGAGCACAAGTCTTGAATTAACAAACACAATTCAAAAGAAAATATGTAATTCCTATGATAGTTTTCAGAACCATTTCCACTCTTTGGCACAATGGGAATAGGGAGATTATGGTATATTCCTTTAACTATAGTATTACAATCTGGCAGCTGTTTGGACATTCCATATGGTATTGCTGAGGAGATGATTTTCCACTCAGGACTTTGTTCAAACACAAGAATTCTGGGGAGATATTTGACAATGCATTACTCTGTCTTTTTGTATCAGAGTAAAAGTGCAGAGATGTGCATTTTGACAGATGTATCCATTTCTATTTGATTGCAGTACTTTAGATGTGGTTAAAGAAAATCTAAACTGACATATACATTGCTAATGTTTGTTGCGAGCTGAACACAAGGAATTTTATTGTTGTATGCAGTATTAAATCATTACATCCAAATGGTGTTACTATTTCTCAAGCACAGGACACAGATTGTAATGTGGAAACATAAAACATCTTGATCCTTATCCCTATGCAGAAATACCTGTACCGTGTTTTCCTATTATGTAAATGGAAAACACCATTGTATTGTCAAGGATGACATGCTTCTATGTGTACATACTGGGGACTACATCCATAACTGCTAAATTTGAATTTTACAAAATTTGCACTAGCTGTATTAGATACTCATGAAGATTTCTTATTTTAACTATATTTTAAGTATATTATAGAATTGCAGAGATGTACAGCTAGAAGTGATTCCAAGGGCCACTGAATCTAAGTGGCAAAAGCAGGAAATCCACCAGCTAAAGGCAATTCCTGATGGGTTGCCTTATAACCTCTGTTTAAAAACCTTCAATGGGGCTGAGCCCACCTACTTCCAAGGCTGTCCATTCTACTGTCGAACAGCTCTTACAATTAAGAAGTTCTTCCTAATGTTTACGCAAAACCTCCTTTCTCATAATTTGAATTCATTCGTTTGAGTTTTACCCTCTGAGGTACAAGAAATAGGTTTGTTTCATTTCTCATGGTACGGCACTTCAACTATTTGAAGAAGCCTATCGTATTGCTTCTCAGACCTCTCTTCTCTAGGCTAACATGCCTAGTTCCCTCAACCATTCCTTAAAGAGCTTAGTTTCCAGATTAGCTTTACCATCCTGGTCACCCTACTCTCAACACATTCCAGCTTGCTGTCACCCTTCTTAAACGGTGGTGCCTATGATTGGGCACAGCATTCCAGATGAGGTTGACCAAAGCAGAATAGATGGTACTGTTACTTCCCTTGATCTAGAACCAGTGGTTCTTAACCTTTGTTACTCAGGTGTTTTTGAACTGCAACTCCCAGAAACCCCAGCCAGCAGAGCTGATGGTGAAGGCTTCTGGGAGTTGCAGTCCAAAAACACCTGAGTAACAAAGGTTAAGAACCACTGATCTAGACAACACACCTCTATTAATGCAAAAGTAATCCATTTCCTCTTTTTTGCAACATAATAATGGTTAATCAGATGTACTGTATATCAGACAAGTTGCAGTTCACATTGATAACATATATTTGTTTCCAGATACTGTTAAAAGTTGTGTAGCAAAGCTGTTCTTCAGCTGCCCCCTGAAAGGTCATTACTGCCTGTACAGTAAATCGAGTTTCACTCTCATCAGCCGACAGCCTCAGCTCTGGATTCATATCATGTTTCTCTTTCAGCAGGTATGTGCAATATCTGAACATATAAAACAGTGATCATTAAAGTTCATTGTCAGTTCTCTTAGTTGTAACCCATTGAAAGATCTTAGCACTTTAAGTCACAAGACTTTGTGTTCCCTTGGGAAGGTGAGTACTTCCATTAGGATTTGATGCTACCATTTCATCTTACTGTACTGTCATTATGGGATATGTTTTGATATGATTGTTGTTAAATTTTGTAGCTTCTCTAAATATGTGGTGTTACATGTCACTTCCTCCCGCCAACCTAGCGGTTCGAAAGTTACCATTTAATTTTACTGTACTGTCATTATGGCATATGTTTTGATATGATTTATTAAATTTTGTAGCTTATCTAAATATGTGGTGTTACGTGTTACTTCTGACTTATGATGAGCCTGTGAATTAATGACTTCCAGAAGGTTGTATTATTAATAACCCCTCTCAGGTCTTTCAGGCTAAGAACTGCCATATTCTTTATTGATGAAAAGGTTACTCATGTAAAACTGGGAAGATTTCAGGTTTCTGGGGCCTATTTTCTTTTGAACTAGAACCATCATGTGAAGCCTGGTGGAAAAGTAATTTTAAAAATTAAAGAATTTCAGGGTTAGGAAATTGTTTTTAAATACCTGAAATGAAAAGAGATCATAGTCTTCCACGACACAAAGATTCCCCCACTTTCTTCACCCTCATCTTTCATCTTCTCCATAGGCTTCCGTCTTCCCCATGGTATAATTTAAGGTAGGGGAAAAGCTCTTGAATAACTGAGAAACCTAGATATACAACTTTCCAGCTTGAGCCCCAGTTCATGCCCAGCTGGACCTTCTTGGTCCAGCAACAGAGCTACTTTGTAATGGGGCTAGGCAGCAGCAATCACTTTATGTCAGAGGAAGCTAGATGGTACAGGGGAAGAACAACCATTTTAGCTATCTGCTGTTCCTGATTGTGCTTGGTTTTGATTATTTTACAACATACAAAATTGAGGTTGTTCCTACAAAAGATTTTGTTTGATTGTGCAATCTCAATAGAGAGAATGCTTTTAAACTGCTTCACATAAAAGCTACATTTTACCAATGCTAAACAACAGATTTTTCTATGTATAAGTATTCAGATTTTGATTCATACCTGTAGAACAGTCTAAATATATCAGGAATACCAGACTATGAAAAAAAAGCAAAGTACAGCTCAAATTCCATTTCAATATATTATTCCCACTGAGAGAAAACCTATTGGAGTGTGCAGCTAGAAAGCTGATCTGCATTCTATTCCAGGAATCCAGCCCAATTTCAGGACTGTCAAAACTAATTTTTTACATATCCTTATTCAGAGATGAATTAAATGATCCAGAGGCAATGACACCATGAGCTGTTTCAGATCAGATGTTATCCCTTAGAACCACCTAGACCTCCAGATGGGGATTCATATGAGGATTTATATCCCATTGTTTGTATACATAACTACAACAAATGCTCTAAAAATACACCAACAATTTAATATTAGGCATCCTTCAGTCTCGAGAGACTATAGTAACGTGCTCTGTATGGAGGACTTGGAACAGCCTCTAGGATGGCTGAGAAGGCCAATTCAAGAGTGACAATCCCTTCCACACTGAAGACAAATACAATCTGTTCCTTGTCCAGGTCCCTGGTTTTGCTGGTTTTGGGACTGCATCTTTGCCTCGGCCTTCTGGACAAGGGTCCCTTCAAATTGGGAGAGGCCATGCTGCACCACCTGCCTCCAGGCTGAACGCTCAGATGTCAAGGTTTCCCATCTGTTGAGGTCCATTCCTAAGGCCTTCAGATCCCAATTGCAGATATCCTTGTCTCACAGCTATGGTCTTCCTTTGGGGTGATTTCCCTTTACTAATTCTCCATGTAGGAGATCTTTTGGAATCCGACCATCAGCCATTCTCACGACATGCCCAAGCCAACATAGACATCGCTGTTTCAGTAATGTATACATGCTAAAAATTTCAGCTCGTTCTATGACTACTCTATTTGGAACTTTGTCCTTCCAAGTGATACCAAAAATGCATCAGAGACAACACATATGGAATGTTTTCACGTTCCTCTCCTGCAGTGCACAAAGGATCCAGGACTCACTGCAGTACAGGAATGTACTCAGGACACAGGCTCTATAGACCTGGATCTTGGTATATGCCATCAGCTTCTTATTAAGCCAAACTCTCTTTATGAGTCTAGAGAACATGGTAGCTGCTTTGACAATGTGTTTATCCAGCTCAACATTTAGGGAGAGAGTGTCAGAGATCATTGAGCCAAGGTACACAAAATCATGAACAACCTCCAGTTCTTGTGAAGAGATGGTAATAGAGGGAGGTGAGTCCATGCCCTGGCCCATGACTTCTGTTTTCTTCAGGCTGATTTTTAATCCAAAGTCTTGGCAGGCCTTGCTAAAGCAATTCATGAGTTGTTGGAGGTCTTCAGCAGAGTGGGCAACAACAGCTGCATCATCAGCAAAGAGGAAGTCCCGTATGCATTTCAGCTAGACTTGGGTCTTTGCTCTCAATCCAGAGAGATTAAAGAGCTTTCCATCTGATCTAGTCTGGAGATAGACACCTTCTGTTGCAGTTCCAAAGGCCTGCTTGAGCATGACAGCAAAAAAGATCACAAAGAGGTTCTGCGTGAGGACACAGCCCTGTTTCACTCCACTTCAGATGTCAAAGGGACATGATGTTGAGCCATCAAAACTTACATGCCCTTCATTTCCTCTTGAAGGGACCTGATGATGTTAAAGAGTCGAGGTAGACATTCAATCTTGAGAAGTATTTTAAAAAGGCCATCCCTGCTAACAAAATCAAAAGCCTTTGTAAGATCTATGAAGGCTGCAAAGAGTGGCTGTTGTTGTTCCCTACATTTCTTCTGCTACTGTCTGAGGGAAAATACCATGTCAGTGGTGGATCTATTAGCTCGAAATCCACACTGTGATTCTGGATAGACTCTGCAAGCACCTGGAGTCTCTTCAGCACAACACAGGGAAGCAGCTTCCCTACAATGCTGAGAAGAGAGATGCATGGTAGTTACTGCAATCGCACGTCTCCTTTATTCTTATCCAATGTGATGATGTTTGAGTCCTTCATGTCCTGTGGTATTCCACCTTCCCTCCAGCAAAGATAAAAGATTTCATACAGCTCAGTGGTGATGATCTCTTTACAGCACTTCAGCAGGGATGTTATCCTTCTCAGGTGCCTTGCCAGAGGCGAGGGAATCCAAGGCCACTTTTATTTCTACTAAAGTTGGTTGGCTGCCCAGCTCTTCCTAGACAGGCAGGCACTCGATGTTATTTAATGCCTCTTCAGTTACTATATTCTCTCTGGAATATAGCTCAGAGTAGCACTGCACCTTGTGTTTCATCTGCTGTGCTTGGTCCTGGATGATCACATCTGAAGCAGATTTCTTCTGTATTGGACCTAAAGCCTGCTTAATACCGTCATACATTCCCTTGTTAACCAGTACATTAAATTTCTGTTAAAATCAATGGGACCTACTTCTGAATCAACATCTACTGCAAGAGTGGGCAAAATGCAGGCTGCATGTGCCACCACCTGTTCTTTCTACCCCCAGTGCTTCCCCATTAATGTAAAAAACCAAGGATCACACTCTTGGACGCTTCAGAAAGCATGATCCATTTTTACAGAAGAAAATGTGTGTCTGCTGTATGCCTTATTTTGTCAAACAAGGGAGAGTGTTTTCTTGGGAATGGACTGGGTGGCAAGTCTCAGGGGTCTTGAGGTGCTGGCCATTGTTGAACATAAATATTTTGAGAAACTTTTTTTCCTCTCTTCATTTTGCTGTGCCTTTCCTCAGAGTCCCCGCTAGCAATTCTGGTGCCTGAGGCTCTCACTATCTTATTAATAATCTTTTGCCACAGAAGGTTGAAATGTGTGGGCAGAGGAAATTATAATGGGCAGAATGGCTGAGTCCAAGCTGCAAATATCAACAGGTGGATTTATACCCTTCTGGCAGCAAATTTTTGCACACTCTAAACTTTGTTTTCCTGGGTCAATGCCAAGGTTATCCTTTTCTAGTCACGGCTCTGCCTTCCCTCCTTCCTTCCTGGGTGTGTAGCAGACATGTAGATACAAAGAGAAAACTTTTTAACTCTCTTCCTTGAAAAAGCACCATTAAAGAGAGGTCTTATCTTTCTGAATGCTGCCATTGTACTGTGAAGTCAAAGCCAGCTTTTAATTTTATGTTCAATGTTCTGCAGTGATCTCTTTCCTTAAACTTCTTGAATCTGACAAGCCTGGAAAAACTGTCAGCTTCTTTTGCTTCTGGAAATTCTTTCGGACGATATTTTATCTCCTAACTTCCCCTTCCTGTCACTACCATTGACATTCCAGCCATTTACCGATGCCACAGAAGGTTGTATCTGCCAAACAGCAACTCTTTTGCCTAGCTAAAGCTGAACAGCACTGATAGGTATCCCAAATTAAAAACAAAACAAAACATCCCATATTAAAACAAAACAAAACAAAACCAGGAATTTTTCGATAATAAATCATGTTTTCCAAGTCTGTGCATCAAGTTCTTGTGGGTATTTCCAAACTTCCATGCTGTTATTAATGTCCCAGATTCACATCAGGAATTTTTCAATGATAAATCATCTTTTCCAAGTCTGTACCTCAAGTTCTTGTGGGTAGTTCCAAACTTATATGCTGTTATTAATGTCCCAGATTCACATGGCTGATGATGTTGGGGACAGGTTATCTTCTGAGATGGCAAAAGCTGCAGTATGCAAGTTGGTTTAAAGCTTCTCTGTAGCTAGCAGTTTGGAATTAAGGATGATGGCCCCACTCCTCCCTTTTCTTCTGCCTTTTTGAAACTCTGTCCCTAACAGAGTTGGGATTAAGAGTTTAGTTAAACCACAAGGAACAGTCAATTTAAGCCAAATTAAAGCCGTGGCCCCACTCCCTTTTCTTCTGCCTTTTTGAAACTCTGTCTCTAACAGTGTTGGGATTAAGGATTTAGTTAAACCACAAGGAACAG